GATGGCGGGATTTTGGGTATGAGTGGGGTAGGTGGTAGTGGGGCGGGTGGGGTGGTGGGGTAGGTCGTCTTTCGTGGTGTCCAGGAAACTAAGATCATCGGGAGTGGAAGCTTGGGAAAAAGGGAATGACGACTCATCAAACACAACATGACGGGAGACAATGATTTTGTTTGTTTGGAGATCGAGACAACGGAATCCGCGTTGATTGGAGGGGTAGCCGAGGAAAATGCACCGAGCCGAGCGTGGGGCTAGTTTGTGTGCAGCAGTGGCGGTGGTGTTTGGATAGCATAGGCAGCCGAAAACACGGAGGTGGGAGTAAGTGGGTGGATGTTTAAAGAGGAGGGTGTATGGTGTTTGATTGTGGAGTGTGGTGGTTGGGAGGAGGTTAAAGAGGTGGGCTGCCATATGCAAGGCTTCAACCCAAAATTCGGGCGGTAGGTGAGCTTGAAATAACAGGGTAAGAATGGTGTTGGAGTAGGAATAATGGGCAAAGGCATTAGGGTAGGTGTAGGGGGTGGGGCGTGGGCCGAGAAGACCCGGGGTAGGGTTAGGGTTTTGGTTTGGTGAGTTCCAGGATCCGTAGCCGTCCGAGTGTCGCTGCCCGCTAGAGTTTCGGCCTCTTCCACGTCCTCGCCCGTGACCACCGCGACCGCCACCACCACGGCCAGGGTAGCCACGGTTACCCGCCAGGTCTGCCGTGCCGCTGGGACGGCCATGCTGCTGATTCGGACCCAGCTGGCCGCCAGTTCGGCCGGCGGCGAGGGCTGTCCCGGTCTCAAGCGAGTGGGAGCGTTGACGTTCAAGGAGTAATAATGCCGACCGGACTTGGAGAAAGTTGGGTTGGGGCTGTTGAAACTGCATCCAAGATGTTTGGGCTTGGAAATCGTCCGGTAGGCCTCGTAAGAGTTGGAGCACCAGCTGTGATTCGGAGACCGGGGCGTCGACGTCATCAAGCCAATCGGCGATGTTCCGGAGAGTTTGACAATAGGTGGCCATGGGCATAGTTCCTTTGACCGTAGTGCGGAATTGGTGTTCCAATTGCATAGCCCGAGCCGGTTTGTTGTCGTGGAAGAGATCATGAATCACCCGCCAAAGTTCGGAGGCCGTGGAGGTGGAAGAGATGACCAAGTCGGAGACTTCATCGGTCACCGTAGAGAGAATCCAGCCTTGAAGCAAAACATCGAGTTGAAACCATTCGTCGTCATCGGCGGAAGAGGGAATCTTAGAGCCGGAGAGAAACCCGTGGAGATTGAACCGTCGAACAAGGAGCAAGAAGAGGCGGCACCATTTTTTGTAATTTGGTTGAGAAAAACTCAACTGTATGGGGACGTGAAGCTTGACGTTGGATATAGCCGTGAACGCCAAGTGAGGAGGATTTGAGGAGGTAGTGGAGGAAGAAGGAGATTTGTCCGTCGTTTTGTCGGAGTTTTCCATGAGGGAGAAGGGGGGAAGACGACGGGGGAGTGGTGGAGCTGCTGCGGCAGTAGGCCGAGAGAGAGAGAGCAGCGCCGAGAGAGGTGTGAGCCGAGAGAAGAAAAGAATTAGGGTTTTGGATCTGGCTCTGATACCATGAAGAATGAATATTTTCAATTAATTGAATCTGTAGGAGTACAACCATATTTATATACAAGATGAGACTCCTAATCATGGTAGGAGTATAAGTAAGGAAACCTATACAAAAGGTAACTACCAATAATACAATGATATAATAATAAATACATTAAATATACTTAACATAAATAAATATGGTAAATATATTTAATAGTCTGCTACTCCTTGGAGAATCTCTATTGAGCTTTTCCGAAGCGGACAACCGGTTCTTAAGAATCTTCTATTATCTAACTGTGCTGCACCAGAAACTTTTAATCTCCGTCCATTCAGCCAGCTAGAGGACCTCAGATTTCATCACATACCTTTGGAGTCTCATGATATGGAGAGTGTGCTATCAGGCTTTGTAAAGCTCAAGCAATTGGAACTGAGACGATGCAGATTGCCTTCTTATTTAAGCCTTAACTCACTCACCAGTCTAGAGGGTGTCTGGATTTTGTTTTTGCGACGGGTTGGAGAAACTTGTCGTGGCTAATCTTAAGCTCAAGCATTTGAGTGTTTTGTGTCGGAGCACTGTTTCGTTGGGGCTACCTGGGGTTCCTAACTTGATGAGACTCTCTTACACAGTACATCACGGTGGCTTGTCCCTCATTTTTTCAAAGCTGCCAAAAATTCTTCCTCATTTGAGATTTTTGAATGTGCACTCTTGTTCCATCTGGGTAGGCGCATCAAGTTGAAGCTGGGTATCAAACGCCTTTTTCGTTCTTATATGCTCCCATATGTTTTTTTGTTTGTTTTGCAGATGGGGTACATGCCTGAAAGCATAGCCACATTCTCAAATCTTTGGTCATTAATGCTGGCATTGGATCACCAAGCGGGAGATATCATGTGTAAGATCATTCAACTTTTGAAATCGTGCCCTCGACTCTATACTCTTCGTATTGTGGTGAGTGGACCCTTCTTCAATTCACGTTGTGATATGTGCGTTTTATTTTATTATTTTTTTGGATTATCGTATCTTGATTGTGCTGACTAATATTGGTTGTAAATTTCAGCTCAGCACCGGAGTGGACAAGGAACACAAGAAGCTAGAGTCCATTGTATACCGTCATGAACGCCTGACGTGCTTTGAAATCTTAGGCACCGAGTATCAGATTGAGTCTTGCAAGTATTTGCTCAAACTTGTCCTCGCACGAAGAAGATGATGATAAATTGTGATCTACCGGAGCTGTTGTCACCTAGCTTTTATCTACTCGATAAACTAGAACCTGAAAGTGTAATAAATGCACTGAAAGCAGTTTCAAATGATGTGAATGTGGTTTTTATTCAAAAAAAACATTTGATCATATAATATGGAAGGATCTTACCTTCTCAAATTATTCTTTAACTTGATTACCTATTTTTAGTTGTTTGAAACTTAGTTAAATGACATGTAATGGGTGCATAAAGTTTCTTGCTATTTTTTATGAATTGTTTTTTTCTTCATAACCATTTAGTTTATGGTCTTGTATGGGATCATCTTTGTTAGCATTAACATTTTAGATATAATTTTAATGATATAAATTAATTCTGAAAATGATTCTGAAAATGTAAGAGTACTAAAGTTGTGGTGATGGGAATGTTTGCTAGAATATTGTTAAAGATTATTTTTAAAATAATCTTTGTTTGGCATTCTTACTTGGTGTTTTTGGCAGCTTCTGGGCAGCCATACTACCTGCTGTTTGTAGTGCTGAATCATGGGCATTTTGAGGACGGCTCTTGGTGGGAAAAGGCTGCTTTCTTGCTGGTTTAGGGCTGCCTAAAGGTCCATTTGCTTGGTCCATTGGTGAGCCGTGAACTGGCCTTCTTTCATTCAGTTTGGAGTCGATGAACACCTTGGGAGGGATATTAAACGTTCTCGCTGCCTCTCGACTTGTTTGGAGGCCATTGTGAATCTGCGATTCCAATGTTCAACACCATTAAGGGAAGGGTACGTTGGCACCCCCCTGGTGTGATAGATGAGTTCTGTTGGCAACTCCTTACCCCTGTGTGTGATTTTGATGCCGGACTGGGTGTTCTTCAAGTGCTTTATGACTTCGGGCCTTGTCCACTGGAGTTTGCTTGAGCCATCTGCTATTGCCGTCTCTGTTTCAGATTCGGTTGAGTTTACTCTAGCACTTTGGCCTTTGATGAACTTGTGGACATGGGTCATGGCATCTATTTCTTGAGGGTGAACTTGATGAGCCTACACGTGTTGAGGACTTGTCGTTGTAGTGGCAACAATGACGCAACTGACCACTTAGGTTTGGTGTCTCGATGATTCATAAAGCCCTCTGGTGGTGCTTCACCTTCGGAGTTTTGACAAGGAAATATCTTCCTTTTGATGTTCTTTTGAGGATGACGAGGACAAGCCCCGGTGATGGTGCTGACTTTGTGATGTACCTTTCTCTTGTGCTTGTTTCTCTAGTTTTGTTGATTGGGTGTGCGTGCCTTTGGCGTGTGTGCCATTCTTTGTTTTTGATTTTTAGGGGTATGCCCCGATGCATTGTATGTTTACTTCGTGGATGTACATTGTATTGACTCTTGGATTTTAATAATTTACATTTTATCCTTAAAATTATCAATGTTGATGAATCTAAGGTTGGGGGTTTGGATCCTAAGAAATTGCAATTATTTTTAAAATTAGCAATCTTGTCTCGTCTATATAATATGACAAATTTGCAATTTCGAGAGCCTAAAAAATTTTTTGCGGTATTTTTACTTTTTTTATATAGGGAAGATGATGCTTAGGCCAACTTTAAATGTTAAATTTGCTTTATCTCGGGGACCTAAAGTTTATTCTTTTTTTATTTTTTTGCTTTTATGAAGTGTTTTTTTCTAACGGTGTTTCCAAACTGGGCTTATGTATGTAAGAATACTAAAGTTATGGTGATGAGAATGTTTGCTAGAATATTGTTAAAATAATTTTTTAAATTATCAATGTTGATGAATTTGAGGTTGGGGGTTTGGATCTTGAGAAATTGTAATTATTTTTAAAATTATCAATTTTGTCCCCTCTGCCTCTATATAATTTGACAAAATTACAATTTGGAGAACTTAAATTTTTTTAGCTATATTTTTACTTTTTTTTAATGAAGATGATGCTTAGGCCAATTTTTTAAATGTTAAATTTGCTTTATGTTGGGGACCTAAAGTTTACTCTTTTTTTATTCTTTTTTAATTAGATCATTTTGATCACAATTATCATTGTATTTTTTTTATAAATCTTATCACAATTATGTAAGAAGAATATTTAATTGTAATTTAAATTAAATATAATTAGCATTATTCTAAGATGAACTTTTTATGTCAAATTATTGGAACATCTGTTTATTTACAATTATATCTAATTTGAGTTCAAAAGAGACTAATGGTAGAAAAAACAAAATGTTGATCAGGCCAACAGGGCATTTCATATGAATACGCGCCTCACAATAAATACTTTTCTACTACGGAGTAGTACTATACTTTTCTAAAAGAAAATTGTAATTATTGGAGGAGATGAGGTCAAAAGACAATCCACAGTAATATCTCCCAATACATGACTTTTATATGAATTTCAATTATCAGAAGAGATGAGCTCTTCCAGTTTTATCTGATGCAATTGCTTCTTCAAATGAAGAACACTTTCACATCATTTGAAACTGCTTTCAGGGCATTTACTGCACTTCTGCGTTCTTCTTTATTCAGGGGATGACTTCTGTGCCCAGCTTCAGTTGCCGGGGACAACAAAGCGGGCAGAGGAAACGTTAATATCATCGACTTGGCGCGAGGGGCAAGTTTGAGCAAACACTTGCAAGACTCAATCTGATACTTGGTGCCCACAAATCCGCGGATTTCAATCCACTCTAGATGTTCATGATGGTTGTAGTATTCATCAATGGACTCTAGCTTCTCGTGCTCCTTGTCCTCTCGGGTGCTCAGCTGAAATTTGTTCCTAATTTTAGTCATCAAATCGCCGATTGCACGTATATGGTTTTAATGTCAAGAAAACATGTATTACATAGATGATTGGCCATCTAATCAATCTCGGCAAAAAAGTACGCAAGAATCATAGCAGAATGTGATTAGAAGATCAAAGGGCATCACTCACCACAATACTGAGACCATAGAGTAGAGGGCACGAATCCAGAAGTTGAACTATCCTAAACATCATATCTCCCACTCCGTGGTCCAATGCGAGCGTTAGTGTCCTTAGTCTTGAGAATGTAGCTATGCTTTCTGGCATGTGCTCCATCTGCAAAACAAAACCATTTAGCAGCGTATAAAAATACAAAAGGCAAAGTTTCATAGCCAAAAACTTAAAATTTATGTTCCTACCCAGCTGGAAAAAGAGACCACCCTCAAACTGCTCAAATGGGGAAGAGTTTCCGGAAGATGTGAAAAAATGTGGCGCAAGCCACCGTCATGCACTGCGTAACTGAGGGCATTCAAGTTAGGAGCCCCAGTTAGCCCCAATGAAACAGTGCTCCTGCACAAAACACTCAATGTCTTGAGCTTAAGATTAGCCATGTCAATCTTTTCCAACCCGACGCAATGCGTAACCCATAAACCCTCTAGACTGGTGAGTGAGTTAAGGCTTAAATAGGGACGCAATTCGCACTCTTTCATTTCCAAGTGCTTAAGATTTACTAAGCCTGAAAGCACACTCCACATAAAATGAGACTTCAAACGCAGGTGATGAAATCTGAGGTCCTCTAGCTGGATGAATGGACACAGAGTAAAAGTTGTGGCTACATCACAGTTCGATAACAGAAGACTCTTTAGAACAGGTTGACCTCTTGGGGAAAGCTCAATGGGAATTTTCCACGGAATACTAGACAATGGTACTTGAGGTGTGAAACATTCACAATGAAACTCCATGTCGAGCATCTCCACGCCTAAATCAAAAGCAAATCGAATCCAATGGAAGACAGCATGTGGGTATTCATTAATCAGGCAGAAACGGAAAGCAAACGTGTTTATCCGTGTCCCTCTATAAGAAACTATAAATTTAGAGACGGCTGATACAAATCGAGATTTGTATTCTGAACAAACACATTTTGTTCTCTCAAGGCTTCCAATTTTGAACATGCTAGACAGATCAAAAAAGAGGCAATCCCGCCGGGTCATAACAAGATGTCTCCATCTAGAGCATACCAAACTTGCATTAACTGCATCTCTAATAATTAATTTATTGAGAATACACTCAAGAATTTCATCAGGAAGTTGACTGATGTGGCCCCCAACTGTCGAGGAGTATACATCCTGAGATAGATATAAAACAAGATGAAATGTTAGCGTACATAAAAATGACAATATTATAATTTTCAAAAACACAAACCGATGGGCAAAAATATCTCTCTTTATGCCTAATACACATTCTATGTAAACTTCATCTTGGCAAATTTCCCTTAAGTACAATTTTAATGATAATAAAAAAAAGTGCATTCAAATACTCTTAGTTTCCTGCAATTTATGGTAATACACATTCAAATGTTGTCATGGTTGCTCCCGTAAATTTTACGCTGCCACTCTTACGGTTATTATTGGAAGGTCAAAATTCAGACAGGACAAAGTTTTACAAAAAAGTCACATTTTAGCATTATGTTTTTTTACTCATGTTTCAAATTCGAGTGATTCAATTGGTGTTGAAAAAGCTATTTGTAGCACAAATGCACAATGACATTGCACTCCATTCATTATTATAATTATAAGATTTTCAAATGATAAACAGATTCTTATGGGAGGTCTCTCCCACATCAAGAAAAGAAGCCAAAGAAAGTCCCAACATATAAGTCTTATGGAACCCCCGTGGGATTGTTGGGCCTATAACACAAATACGCACGAACCGGCGTGTGTCCCTCACATTATGTTTGGCCCACCAGATTTTATCATGGTATTGAATCAGGTTCGGTATGGGTTTGAACTCTTGCCTATAAGGCTGGCCGGCCACAAGTCAAGAGAAAAAAACGTCAAGCGCAAGTAAGAAAAATACGAGGCCAGACAGTTGCACTTGAGGGGGGTGTTGGGAGGTTTCTACCACATCGAAAAAGAAACAAAAAGAAGTCCAACATATAAGTCTAAAGATCTTTCCTCCTATCGCCAATTAGTTTGAGGATGGAACCCTCATGGCCTTGAGTATTGGGCCGATAACGCAAATTCACAGGAACCAACACGTGTCCCCCCACACTATATTTGGCCCACCTGATTTTTTCGTTAGACATTTGGTTGCGTTGGTTCCTAGACATAATATCAGAACCTTATTGACTTAGAGGTTACAGGTTAAAATTTCACGTGCATGGCTCAAAAGACGTCACACCTGCATGTGAGGCATGTTAGGTTTAAAAAATCTTTCATGTGCCACAACCACAAGCTTGAGCTTTTGGTTGAGTTAGTTCATTCAAAGTTACTTACCCACTTTCTTCTTTGAACCATCGGAAAATGTTCTTCACATTTCCTAATTTGGCAAATTATTATGTAAAACTATCAACCCTTATTTCACTGCCCCCATCATCCATATTGACATCCATCCTTATTTTCCGACCAAATTTTTCCCATCATATGCAATGGTCGTTGCCTAGCGCAGAGGAGTCTTCATCGCCATGGCCATCACCTCTGATGCCACATTGCCACCATCATCTTCTTCCTTTTTTCCCAGTTCTTGTTCACATTTCGGTTCTTCTTCTTCCCTCAGCTGTTGCAACATCCCTTTACTCCACGGTTTCCATCATTCTAATATCCTCTACGGAGGATTCAAATCACTGCCGCCCTTTTTTTATCACTTCCCTGGTGGAGCAGGAGCTCATGGCATAGGAATAGGGTTGGAGTAGAAGGCTATTTTTATGCAAGACAAAGTTATTTTTTGGCACCCCTAAATAATATTGTTGGGTCAACTTGGGGAGTTAATTCCTTTATCACTTTAACAAAACTAATAGTGCTCCAAATCTGGTTCCACTTGAATAACAAGATATGATGCCAAAGTCAAAAGTCATGCATAAAACCCAATGTAAAAAAACAACCTATTAGAAGATGTATAAATTAATTGAAGTCGGGACAATGACCTTTAAATTTTGATAAACCATCATAAAATCATAACATTTTATGAGTATTTGTATGAATATTTCCTTAAATAATTAGTCCTTCTATCTAAACGAACTTGACATTACAATGTTATTTTCAATTGAATATTGGTTTTACAAAAAGTATATACTCCTTCAATCCAAAAATAAAATTTCACTTCATTGGGTCAAACTATATTCTCAATTTATTTGCTTGTTTTCATTACACATTTAATAAAATAATATAATCATGGCAATGAAAGAAGATATGATACCATGTGAACAACAAATGCAAAGATCTTGGTGCCGTTTTTGGACAAGACTACAGGAGTATCAATATTTTCACTAACTTCTAAAAAATAACCACAATATATTTACCAAATATAAAGTCTTCTTTTTAAATTCAATATAATAAAACTCAATATAAAAATTGTAGAAAACCAGCCGATATAGAGCTCTTATTAGAAAAAGATGATGATACCTGAAGTACTTGTCCTCCTTTTTCGATATCACCAACGTACTTTGCTATTTTTAAGGGCCATTGTGTCATCCCTATAACCAAACAATTTGAAATTAGTTTATTAATTACGAATATCAATAGGCATTAACAGAAGAATACAAGGTCGCTTAAAATATAAATGTGTTTCTTCTATTTACTATTTAGATAGTAGTCATTCAAAAGGCAAAAGATAAATGAAAGTAGCTAAAAAAAATTAGTGTTAATAGCTTTTAAGAACTTCCATAAAATATGATAAAAGTAAATACTTTAGTAGGAAGCAAAAATGTGAACCATGAAGAAAGCATATCAATTTTCAGGCACTGGATGGAACCAAGAAATTTAAGCAAGGTTGTTTAACTAGAGAACATAGTCAAGAACAGAGGGGAGTCATAGCTAATGCATAAAAATGTGTAAGTTAACCCTCTCTAAACAATTTTAAAGCGTCATAATCCAACCACATTAAGGCCATGTGTTATGGTGGCGTGAGGAGGGTGGCACTACCTACATTCACGCCCCACATGTCATAACTCCGTCAGTGTTGTTGGGAGTTTCCCTTCTCCCTGTGATGGCCATCACAGCCTTCTCTCCATTTCTTTCATTTTTTTAAAATCAGCCAATCAAAATAATCCACACATTCACTTAAATCAATCAAAATTATACACACATGCACCCCATACTTGGTGGTCAAGCCCCATAACAGACCTATTTTAGTCAAAGCATCCAACTAATAGGAGCATAATCCGACCCCAAACCAAGAATAAAACAATCCAAACCCGACCCAAAATTTTTACCCGAACCCAACATTGGGTCGGATCTGGTGTGTGTTTATCATTTAACCGAACCCGACCTGTACCCGAATATTTTATAACATAAAACCCTATCTACGGATATAATGAGCACTCCGTATAGTGTCTTTTTTTGTTCTCTGGCGCAACCGCATCTCTCTTTTGGTCCTTCCATCGCATGTCTGTGTGTTTTCCATTCTCCTTGTATGGTTCTTCCTTCCTCACATCTCTGGTTTGTCTACTATCTTGTTAGCATTTCTAGCTAGGCAATCGTCTTGACAAAGTGCTACTATACTAAGTATGCCCTTTTATAATTCCTTTTATAATTCTTTAATAAAAAAATGAGACACAAAAAAAGACAAGAATTTTGATTTATTCTTTTTAAAATTTTAGGGTACGTCGAATTGGTTATTGGTTAAATTACATAATTGGGTTTGGATTTGGGTTAGAGTTTAAATGTCGGGTTCGAGTTGGGTCCGATTTTTTGTTTACAAGTTGGGTTTTGGTTTTAAAAATTGGGTCGATTCTGACTATCCGACCTGAACCCGGCCCATTGTCATCCCTATCAGAAACAGCTTTAAATATGACTAGATCATATTAGGCGTTAATAAAAACTAGATCATATCAAACGAAGAGAACATGCCCATAGTCTAATAAGCTATTACAACCATAAACATACAATGGTGCATATACTAAACATCTACACAATATTTTAGCAAAAAAAATCAAAACTTTCAGCAAATAGAACTAAAAATCATTCTCCTCATTCATGTAAAAAAACCTTCATTTGAGCATGCAGAAAGGTTAGAACTTGGAACACTTTCCACAAAAAAAAAACTTAAGGCAAAAAAGATTAAGGCATTGTTCTCTTGGTCCGAACTTATTGAATCTAATCTAAATTTTTTAAAGCTTATCAGATAGTGTAATTTAAGTTCTTGTCGTCTGATAAGAATAAGAAATAAATAAATTTAAAAAAAAAGTTGAAGAGAACAAGGTCTAAAACTTTAAGCAAAAGAAGATTTAAAAAACTTAATGTTTGGCAACTAGTATTTCATTGCAATTCATAAATTTCAATTCTAAAATTTGAAATCTTGAATTTCAAATGACAAGAGGAGAGCATGGATTTCAAATTAAGCTTTGTTATGAATGAGAAGAATTTGATTCAAATCCAAATTCAAAATTTTTAAGTTTCCCAAACATGGAATTTGAATCAAATCTGGATTTGAAATCCAAATCCATGTTCCCAAACATACCATTAGCCAAATCAAATATTAAAACTTTCAGCAAAAAATATATTAAAACTTTAAGCAAAAAAAAACAATGCTCATTAACGTAAAGACTCAATTGGAAAAGAATTAAAAAACAATCGCAATGATGTAAGAAATCTCCATACAAGTACTCTGTACTATAAAAGTATTAATGCTTCAAGATAAGAAAACTAGACTACTTCAAAATCTAAACTAAAATTGCAAATAAAAAATTTACATGGATTGAGAAACAAGTACGAGCATGATGCTTGGATTTGTAATTCCTTAAACAAGATATATAGAGCTCCCTTCTTTTGTCATCACAACTCGATGTCATATTATGACATCGAGCACAACAATGCTCCTATAAAAATTTGATGATTCCTATCCCAGTAACCCACCCCCTAAACCCCACTGTTCCCTGCACACCCAGCCCCTCTCCCTCCTTGTACCAATCTCATGAAGCCTAAATTTGATATGCTCATCCACTCCAATTAAACTTAGGAAACTGAAGTAACACCTAATTATTACCTTGTCTTATACTTGAAGGGATGATTATAAACCTTGAATTTTATTTTTTGTTTTGAAATCAGTGTACAAAAAAGGGGTGGAACCCCCACCCCGGGGTTCCTCCACAACCGTGCCCTTGGGGATGGTGGGGGAGATTAAACACTAAATGTGCCCCACACGACCAGGGTCCAAAACTTTCCTGCTAATCTCACCAACGAGGGGGGCCAACTCAACAGCATTTGCTGGGAATCAAAGCCCCCACACCGAAAGCGTGCATGGCAGATGCCCTGGTCCTTTGCCGCTTCCCCTCGCTGGAAATCAGTATATAAAAAAAACAAGAAAAGTGCACAGTTTACCCCCAAATTCTTTGAAAATTGCATGGTTTACCCCCGAACATTAAAAACTGCACCAAATACACCTGAATTCTTCAGAAATTGCACAGTTTACCCTTGAACAATAAAAATTGCACCAAATACCCCTGAACTCTTCGAAAATTGTATTGTTTACTCCTGAACATTTAAATAAAGACGATAATTTTGGGTAAAGTTACATTGGAAAATTCACAAGGGCCAGATGAATCATATTCGCAATTCTTGTGCGTGGAAGCAACGCACTCCCTATCTAATAGTTTAGGACCAAAGATGCAACGATTTAATTTGTTCAAGGGTATTTGGTGCATTTTTTAGTGAGCAGGGGTAAATCGTGCAATTTTCGAAGAGTTCGAGGGTAATCGGTGCACTTTTTAAAGTTCAGGGGTAAAGCATGCAATTTTTAAAGAGTACGGGGGTAAACCATGCAATTTACTCATAAAAAAACTATCACTGGATAATTACATTTTGAAATCAGTATACTAAGTACCTTGGCGGGCTTTGACCTTATTACTTTAAGACAACTTGTCAGGGCACAAAGGTTTCATACTTCTATCCATGCCTTTAAGAACCCAAGCCTCGTCTTTTCTAATGCACAAATCATATAGAGCCTGCATTATACACGTAGATATTCCATTAGGTCGCTTAGAAAAGCAAACATAGAGAAAATTTTAAATGAAAGAAAGGTGTGGGTGTGGGGGGAGGGCTGGGGTAAAATAGGCAAAAAACCTAAATCTCTAAATTAATGTTGGATGTATGTTGGTAATCTAAGGCCTAAATCTGGCCTTTTGGGTTGTGACTCTTTGGCTTCAAAGTTCAAACCATAGAAGCTAACAAATGATCCTCCTAACAAGTTTAAGTATTCAGCTATCTCTTTCACATTGGCAAAACGCAGAGAGCGGCCAAAGAAGAAATATGGATAAAATTAGAGTCTGGGCAGATGCCAATCAGAGCTTACTGGTCCACTGCTAATAGGACAAGATTAGTGTATGCTGGATTGTTGGTGGAGGTGAGAATGAACCAACAGTTTCCTGATAAGCTTATGGTCTTAGATGAAGAGGATAGGATATCACAGCCACACATATGAATGGTGTCCTATCCAGTGTGATAGCTGCATGGTGAGGAAAGCTAAAGACCAGGTGTGAAAAGAGGGGAACAAAAATTTACTAAGAGAGGGGTTTACATGGAAACCAAAAGGAAATGAACCAAAAGAGAGTAAGGGCAAAAAAACATTAAGTGATAATCAAGCTGTGGGAAAATTCTAAATGGGAATGGAGATGTGAGAAAGAAGTTCTAACTGGGAATGAATGAGGGGAAGGGATTAATCAAGAACAATTAAACTAGAGAGTAAAAGAAATGCTGCCAGGAAGATTATACATGAAGACGATAAGGTGATCAATTTTGAAACACACACACACACACACGATGACGGATGGCAGAATCAAGTTTTTATCAACAACAAAACTCAGACTAAAGGAAGTTTGTCGGAATACAGAAGACAACCAATTCAAGACCCTAATGTGTTCCCGAGGGAGAGAGCATTGGCATCATGGATTTTAGAATAAAATTGAGATAGGGGCATAGGGCTGTGTCTGATTCCTAACTTTCATTGAAGCTGATAGGTAAACAACTCGCCATTTTCCTTTGTGAGACGAGTGTTTCTTCAGACAATGCCTTCTCTAATCTCTTTGTACTTATGGGTAGAATTTGGGATTCCGTTTCCATGCCACCATTTAGGAAAAACATTAGATACTTTGCTTTCGCTCCAATGAGCAGCAATCAATCCAAGTATCAGCTGATCTCCCTTATGTATGCCGTTATGAGCACCACTTTGTTGGTTGAAAGGCAGTTTCAACCAAGGAAAAAGACTTGCTTCAACATTCACATTCTTATCAGTTGTCTCTGTGAGTCCTGTTTTGGGGTAAAGTTTACTTCATTTAGCGATGATTTAGAACTAGAATCTTGAATGGATACGGCATCTTCATCTTTCACCTTCTTCAACTGAGAAGCATGCTCCATGGGACCTGATTCGGGGATTCTAACCGCTTGGCAGATGAGTTGAAAAACAGTACCAGGTGTTTGCATCTCATCAGTTAGCTTCAAGGGAGTTGGGTAGGGAAAAGGCTTTGTGTTTGGACTAGCGACTTCAGAAAGCTTTCTGTCAGACTGGAACTAGAGATGAACATGTTTCTGTCTACAGGCAGTTATTGATGGCACTGTTGGAGGCAAAGATGATGGGATTGTAATAATATTACTCTCTTCCTCATAAGTCATGCAGCTGCTAGGTGTATGGAGGGTAAGAGCCTAATCCCTTTACCCATTCATCCCTGTGCTTCTCAATGCCCCCTTTTGAGGTGACAAATCCTCCCTGCTCTTAGTATTTCCTTAAATGGAGAGTTTCCAAATTTCAATTGGGGTCTCAGGTAAGGTTCCACAGGCTTTGAGGATCCTTGAGCTCATTTACATCCAACTCAAGCAATGAAATTGGACAGCCCAGCTTCCCTACTCCCGTGGTTGGCAAACTAGATTGCTCTTCATTTTCTTCAGAATTAAATAATGAAGAAGGTGGATTCCGATTCCTTGGGGCAACAGGTATGTTTGCACGATAGACACAGAGAGAGCGAGAGGAGAGGTATATATATACATACATACACACACACATATATAGTTGTTGGTGTCCCCAAATGTTTAGGGTTGTAGAGAGAAGGGGGAACGCCGCCCGTTGGCAGCGATCAATTCAAAAAGGTCGCCGGGCAGATCTTGTTCATGCTGAAGATAAGAGGAGGGAATATCATCGGTGGAACTATGATGAACTCCGCTATTGCAGTCCCAAGCGTCGCCCACTTCCTCGTTACTTGAAGAATTCAGAAGAACGCAGATATTGGAGGAGACGGAACACAGGCCCAAAAATCAGTGCAGATGGCAAGATTTCATTCTCTATTGAAAGCAAAGACTTCGATCTATCGTATGAAGGGCACAACATCATCATCTCTGAATCCAAATTAGGTAAATAATACAGCATAAGGGAGAGCCACACCCTAAAAGCTAGCTGTTAAGGTGGGAGAACTCTTAGCTTTATAAACCCATCACCAAGGCCACATTTCAGATATTCAATTACCCCGTATAGCCACCATTCGCATTCAATCGTTGGAAGAACTAAGGTTTCACAACCTCAAACAGTCCACAAACATCTAAACAACAACTCAAAAAATAGCAGACATCAACACAGCTTGAAGAACATGAACAGTAATCAAGAACTGAAGAAATCCATCTAAAATTGATTGAATTGGAAATCCAACCAAAGCAATGAGATATCTATACAAAAAAACCCAAAAATCAGGAACAAATGGAGAAGATACAAGCAAGATTTAGAAAAAATTAAAGAAGCCAATCGCAGTGTGAACAGTAACGCTGCCAAAACCAACCCGAAATCAAGAAAATTGAACTCGGAATTTGAATCCTTTACTAAAATCGATCCAGGAACACCAAACAACACACCAAAAACTCAACAAAATCAGGGTTAGGGTTAAAATCAGCTGTGAACAGTGCTTCAAAATACTGCCCTGTGTTGCCTGGTGAAATTCAAACCGAACCCCTCAAATGAACCAGAGAAAGACAGATCTTTGATGGAGGATGAAACAAGGAAAGGACCCCAATTAAAAAGGACTACAACAATAATATCCGGTAATTATGGACAAAATATGGAAACCTCCTACTTATAATGGACTATTTATAGAATTTACAAAAAACATTGTTGGTCTCACCATCTGCATGTCTTTAAACAAAATGTGCCATCCGAGGTGCAATCTACCCGCCTTAAGAATATCAATCATTTGGAGCTTTGCGGTAGGACCCTTAGCATAAAAAAGATCAATGATCACCATCCTGACAAAGAATGAGGACATACCACATTATCATTTGGGTAAGGAATTTTTTTGTGTGTAGTTAAGAGAATCTATGTCGTTAGTATAATAACCTTAATGGATCATTTTGTAGATGCTCCGGTGATAACTTCAACACAAACATGCCATGGATGTTAAAAGCAACCTGACTAACAATTGAATGAAGTTCTTGTGCAGGAGCATCAACACTCATTGCAGCAACTTGAAATTCTCTAGCCATATCTCTCAACTCTTGAATGATTTGTTGAAAACTGATAACAAAATAGTTGAATTACATATGTCATAACTACAAGCAAGTTGAAGTCCCAAGGTGTGCAAGTTACTATGAAGGATGGGAAATGGCCTGCCTGCAGGGATGGGGAACGAGTGCAAGATACTTTACACATTAAAAATTATAACGTTAAATTTACATCTTTGATTTTAGATTCTTAAAACAAGAAATGAACTATTTAATCGCTCAAAAAAGAGTTATGGTTTATAAAAATCAGAAATATTCATAATAAATAATCTAAAACAAAAATGACCAACAAAGCATGTCTATGTTTAAGAAACTCCCATATTTACATACAAAAAAAACAAAAGAAAACCAAAAGAAAATCTTATAAGAAAGTCTAGTGGGATAGGAGTATTATCCTATGGCATTTATGGTTACCATTGCTGAACTTATAAGGAAAAATATTTGATGTAATATGCATAATAGTATTTCTTTGAATAATTTATCTACCCATTATAATTAGGATGTACACAATCATGCATAGTAGGACACAAAACCAGATCTTTGGATTGGCTCATGGCAATTCTAAATGAGATTTTAAGTACTAAAAACAACTAGAAGTAAGAAGTTTAACCTGCAGGTATTGTGAATCTTAAAAAGTTTCACTAAAGCCTTTGGTAAAGCATTTTGAGTTTCTTCCAACATCAAGGTCATTGACGAAGTGGTATTCATAGCTTTTGATCCTTGCTCATCTAAATTTGTTGTTCTTGCTGAGCTTTTTGTTATGGTATTGGTATTATCTAAAGATGGAATATTTCTTGCATTCACACCTTTAAGAGCCCAAACCCAAGGCTTGTGTTGTACTACACACAATTCATTTGCAGCCTGCATAACACAATGTCAATATTCAATCATGTTGATTATAGAGGTGTGTGTGGGGGTTGGGAGATTGGTGTAACTTCATAACATAATTCAATTGGGCATCTATAGTTCTCCGTTTTGTAAAATTATCAATTCTTGCATTCACACCTTTAAGAGCCCCACAACAGCAATTTCACACCCCCACACCACCACCATAGCCCCTACCTTCCTCCCCTGATAGAAAAGGGAGTGACGGGGCTAGGATGGGATTTAGGGAGTAGACAAAATCAATTTCTTGAATTGGTGTAGCCTTTAATGTTGTAAATGAGTGTTAATAAGATATATAGCCTCATATATATAATTGTTGGTCTCACCATCCATAACTCATCATCCGTGATGAAACTTTTAAGTTGCAATAAAGCTGCGTCAATAATATGAGTGTTTGTAATCTTTGCGGTAGGACCTTTAGCAATAAAGAGATCAATAATCACCTTCCTAACAAAAAATGAAAACATGCAACTTTGGTGTTTAGTATCTTCAGCAACCTTTTTTCTATGTGGTTGAGAGAATCAATGACGTGAGTATAATAACCTTAATGGATCATTTTGTGGATTCTCCGGTGATGACTTCAACACAAACATGCCTTGGATGTTAAAAGCAACTTGACTAACAATTGATAGGAGTTCTTCTGGCGGAGCATCAGCACACAATGCAGCAGCTTGAAATTCTCTAGCCAAACCTCTCAAGTCTTGGATGATTTGTTGAAAACTGAACACAAAATATTCAATTGAATTAGATGCGTCATAACTTTAAGCACGACAAAGTCCAGATGTCCAAGTTGCTTTGAAAGATGGAAAATAACTTGTCTCAAGAGTTATGGCAAGAATGCGAGATACTTCACACCTGAACAATTAAAACTTCTTATTTCTTTGCTTTCAAATTCTTAAAATAAAAACAAAACTTTGTACCCTTTCTCAAACAAAGAGTCATGTTTTTAATAATCACAAATATCCACAATAAAAATTATAAAACAACAATGATCAACCAAACATTTCTGTATATTTTAGAAACTTCCATGTTTACATACAAAAAAAAAGAAAACAAAAAAGAAAATTGTAACAAACAAACCCTTGGAAATTAAATGTCCGGAGGGATAAGACCGTGGCAATTATAGTGACCATTGATGAACTAACAAGGGAATATTCCGTGTAATACGCATGCATATAATACTTCATACTATCGTTTATCTACCCATTCTAAACACGATGCACACATGCATGCATAATATGATAGGAAACAGGTCTTTTAGGATTACCCGATGACCTGTCCAAATGAGATTTACACTATGTTTGGTTCAAAGAATTTTAAAGAGAAAATAAAAAAAATAAGATTGAAAATAGTTTTTCTTGTTTGGTTAGAGAGAAAAAGAAAATAAAAGTGGATGGAAAAGAAAATGAAAAAGGTAAAGTATACTAATAGGAAGGAAAACCAAATTCTTTCCATTTTATTGAAGAAAGTGAGAGAAACTCAATTTTTTCTCTTTCATAATTCCTTGAACCAAACATAGTGTTAAAATACTAAATACAATTGAAAGTTAAGGATTTAACCTGCAAGCATTGTGAATCTTAAAAAGATTCACAATGGCTTTTGGTAAAGCCTTTTGAGTTTCTTTCGACATCGAGCTCGTTGACGAAGTGGCATTCATAGTGCTTGATCGTTGTTAGAATTTGTCGTTGCAACTTGCAATGGTTGACTTTGTGGCTTGACCCGAGTATTGTTGTATCCCTCTCTCTCAAATGAAACTCTGCTGACGTTTTTAAACAAAGCTTGAAAAGATTAATATATTTTTTTGAAAGCAACTTCAATAACTTAATTATTCAACTAGTAAACAAATTGTCTGTTCTCAAGTTTGAGAAATGACACACCTTATCATCATTTGGCATATTTCCAGACAAAAGTAATTTCAAAAATGAAGAAACATTACAATTTAAATATTCATCTGACATTCCATAGCACAAGTTGATGAATTTTAAAAAGCTACTCCCTCCGTCCACAAATAAACTTTACGTTCACTATTCACATGGTCAAACTTTATTCGCTTTGTTGGCCTATTTTCGTCACCCATTTGATAAAATAATATAGTCATGTCACCTCTAGTTTTGTAGATCTTTTGATATAGTTTTTTAATATGTAATTTTTATTTTTCAATTCTACACCATTTTTCATATAAAATGATTTGAAAATAACTTCAGTCAAACATCGTAACGCGCAACGTAAAGTTTATTTGTGGACGGAGGGAGTATCATTTTATTTGTATATGATATGTTCTCTTCCTTGGGTTCCATTATCTATTGGTGTGATAGGATAAGCCATTTTACTCTACTTCCAAATGAGGTTATTAGAAGTGTTGTTGGTAATGTAAAGATTTTTATGTCCAAAGCATGGTGAGATCAATGTTACAAGAAGAGAAGAAGAAGAGGTTGGCCAAATTGCAAGCTAAGCTAAGCACCTAAGCCTAAGAAGACGAAATGGCTCCTAAGGTTGATTTTGACAAACATTCATTTGTCCCAGAAATCGTTACAAGTCAACTACAAGACCTACAAAACCTTAACTCAGACCAACCCTATAATGTATTGATGCATTTATTGTCCTTGAAATTGTTAAGAACATTTTTCATATTTCTATACTCGATCAAAATTCAGAAAAGATGTTGCATGCTATAATACATGGACATGTCTCCAAAATTAGGATACATAAAATGCATTGTAACGCCTCAAACGCGATGCACACGAGGCATAAGGCTTGTGCATTGGGCATTGTGATGCGGGCAACATACTGGAAGCTGCGCATCGTCGCATTATGCGATGCGATCTGGGACACTATAAGGATAGAAGAGTTTCAACACAAAAAATCAAAATTTAAGCAAAAAAAAATTAAAACTTTCAGCAAAAAAAATTTAAAACTTTTAAGTGAAAAAAGAATAATGCCCCTTTAAGTCATAGTTGTGAATAGCTAGTGGCAAGTGGCAGGCGGTCAAATGGCAAACAAATAAAAAGTGAATATAAATAAATAAATGCACACACACACATATAAAGCATGGCATATCAAAAAGTTTTAAACAGTAAATTGAAAGAATAATACACAAGTTGAAAACATAATGGTAATTATTAGAGTAAAGAAATTGTAACAATTAATATCAATTAATTGAATAATACACAAATTAAAAATAATAATTAAGAATAATATCCTTAGTGACCTGATGCTGCTGCACTGAGTCGCTGACCAAGGAGGGACGCTAGGAAGTTGCGACTCTGGGAAGGAAAGACGCTAGCAACCTGCGGCTTCGGAGAGTGGGAGCAGAGTCGAAGCTGGGAAGCTGAACCGATGGTTGATTGGAACAGAGGATCGGCGAAGAAGACGGAAGAGTGGAAAGGAATACGAATATACGATCGATTTAGGTCATCGATTCATCGACTATGGCATGTACCATAAATTATACAGGCACGGTACAGCATAAATCAAAAATGTTAATTACAGTACTTTGTTTTGTGGTAGCACTATATTCATAATTAGTACGGAGTATATCTTTTATGATACGATATTAATAATTTTAAATATGAAATTACCTCACTATTTTTATAAAATTAACAATGATGAATAATTTTAAGTTTCACATGTTTTTTTAAATTATTTCACATGGTACATCCTTAATCATAAATGTTACTTGTAATACGGAGTATCTTTTTGTGGTACTTATTATCATTTCAAAATTCATGTTTCAACTTAAATTTTTAATTACTAGTTTTCTAACTCGTGCCACGCACGGGTCGAACGAATATTTTTTTATTCTGTACTATTTTTTTTCTATGCTACTTATTAAATTAAAAAATCTAAAAGTGCTACCAAAACTTAAACGAAGGATATAATAAATAACATGTGGTAATGAAAATTGGTTTAGAGTCTATTTGGTAAATGAAATTAAATTTGAAATGCAGCACATGATCATTAACTATAAGAAAAATTAATACCATTTAACATAATTATCATGTGTTATAATCAATGCTAGGAAATTGTATGTTTTACTAATTCCTTTTTTATATAAAAAATATTTTAAGTTCAAAAAGTTAGTGTATAAAAATCTTTCAATTTGCATAATCACTTTTTTCATAGCTCTTGGTATCTCGACCATGAAAAAATAAGAATCTTGAATTT